GTCGGATGGCGGAGACGAGCTTTCCCTAGCTGCTATATTGGGGCTTGCCTGTTAGAGCATTGGATTAGGGTGAACGAATATCTGACATGTCTTTGGTAATTTTGGTCCTAATGTTCTTTTTTGTCAATTCTTCTCATGATGCATTCTCTTTCCGAGATCTCTAAAGTATCAAGAATAATCCTTGGGGTAAACAATCAAATGGTACTAGAATAACAAAAATTGGACAAGTCATTTAGCTTGTTGTTTTGTCATGCCTATTGCACCTAATATACTGCTTCTGTTTCTCTATTGCTCAATTCGTCTTCCCAAGATCCTTCTTTACTAACACCTGTTTGGCTTGTTGCAGTCTCCTGCTGATCAATCATTCAACTCTTTGCGGCTTCTGAATTTGGATGATAATTGTTTCTCCGACTGGGGAGAAGTATTGAAGCTTTCTCAGCTGAGATGGTCAGCACTGAAACATACTGATAACTAAATATGCGCATTTTCTCGATGTTACTAACTTATGGTTGCCTTGTCTCTCAGTTTGGAGCAGCTGTACCTGAACAACAACAAGTTGTCACACATCTTTTATCCTGATAGCGATATGCTCTTAAAATTGTTTGACGGTCACGGGTCTCTTGGGAAAAGCTGCGAGCCATTTGAAAATCTTCATTGTCTTCTTCTAGGTAGTACATGGATATTCTTCTATTATCTTTATTCTCAAAAAACAAAACCTATGTTCTTATCCTTTTTTTTTTCTTAGGATCTAACAATATTGGAGATCTAGCTGCAATAGACTCGCTAAACTCGTTTCCTAAATTGATGGTAAGGATACTCTCTTTCCTCATTCCGTAGTTGCTTCCTTTCGTTTCTTTCGCTTCCAGGTTGTTATTTCTTCTATGTGCTAGTTGTGTGAGCAAAATTACATGGGATCCTTATATTCCCTTTTTCTTGATTTTCTTTTGTTCTTTATCGGGTGGTGAATTTTTTGGCGTGGTTCAAAGTTTAGCTACAGTGGAACATATCGACGATGTCTTAGCTTCCTTGCTTGTTGATCAAATGTCTTTTTTGTAAGTAATAGGATATCAGGCTTTCTGAAAACCCGATCTCTGATCCATCAAGAGGTGGTGTTCCGAGATTTGTCTTGGTTGCAAGACTAAGGAATGTGCAAGTGCTGAATGGGAGTGAGGTATATCAACTGTCTCGAAAATGTGTTTTGAAATAGTTTATCTCCCATCAGTCTTTTTTCTGTTTTTGATATACCCACACCGCTCTCAGGTTAAGGCTCGTGAGAGAAAAGATTCGGAGATCCGGTATGCCCTTTATATTTCATTATCTGAGGAAGATTTCTTTCACACTCCTAAACTTTAAACCATAAACCATAAATACTAAACCTTAAACCCTAAACCCTAAACCCTAAACCTGATGTATAACACATATTTATCCTCAGGTATGTGCGCCAAGTGATGTCAAAGTGTAATGACAACCAAGGGGAAATCGAGTCGCTTCATCCTAGGTAAGTCGGCTAACTACAAAACGCGTTACAAAAGTGATAAGAAAGTTTATGATGTGTCAAATGTTCATTACAGGTTTTTCGAACTCAAGAAACTCCACGGAATTGAGGACGAGAGTCAAACAGTCGGAGCGACGGGTCCTCAGAATATGGCATCCGGATTGCTCTGTATGTACTTTTTACGCTTTGATTTGACATTTTTTTTAATACTGAAACAATTATTCTGAAATGCAGCTGTTACGCTAAAATGTGTCAGTGCGTCAATCGGCGAAAAACCGATAATCACGAAGAAATTTCCGAGCAGTACAACGGTTGTATTTTCCTCCTTTTGTTTCGGCATTTGTGCTTGCTGGCTTTTTTGCTCATCAAACCTCTCTGTCTGATGATAGGTTGGGAAGCTAAAAATTCTTTGTGACAACTTTTTCAAGCTCAAGTCCCTCAAGCCAAAACTATTTCTCCAAGAAGAGGTTTGTCGTTCGTTAATTCTTACAATCTCAGTTGATTGCTAAATGAAAAACTTCGATGACGGTTCTCGTCGTAGGGATATAACGTCCTTATGCTTCTGCTCGATCCATTATCCGGGCTGGATACGGGTCAGATACCCTAAAGAAGTTAGGTATCCGTATCCGAAGATCTCGAGTATCATAATGTGATATTCGGGTATGCAGATTATGAGTACCCGATAAAATATTTGGGTATACGCGGGTATCCAAATAAACAAATGAGGTTTATAATCCAAAAAAAAATGGAGTAGAAAAACGAGCTCGGATGTTATTTATGTCATTTGTTAATGTACTGAGGGTAGTCATGAATTTTGCTAGACAGGTAATAAAAAAAATAACTCGTCTCGTTGTATATGTCTAAAAGAGTTGTGTTATTCGGTTCGGTTACGGTTATTTGTTATTCGGTTTGGTTCGGTTCAGTTATTCGATTATTAAACAAATAAATTTGCAGGGGTCGCCTTTGCCAGCGTCGCTTGACGACGAGATGGCGAACTTGTTGGACGTTGGGATAAGCGATGGGTCGACAGTCCTCGTTGATTTAGAGGATTGACTCAAGGTGTCTCTCTCTGCTCTTTCAATGGTTGTGGTCAAAGACAAATTTGTGTCACTGAATTCCTCATTATCTTAGCTCCTTTCACATCGAGGAGAGTTACGGGTTTCGATTTTGCATGGAACTGGCCAATTTGGTTGATCACCGAATAACTAAATCGATCCGAATCAAATAACACAAGATTGTAATCGAACTGAATACGATATAAAACGACTGATAAAACCGATTTTTTCTTCAAAAAACAAATGTTTTTTATCAATAAAAATCGAACATCAACCCCAAATGCAGTCAAATCTAATTGTACAGGAATCCGAGCCTAAGAAAATATCAACACCATCATATTATTTGAATTTATTTTAATATGTTATGGCTCTGTGATTACATCTGGCAAGGGAGACTCCGTTGGGGATACCCGGATTTTTGGGTATTCGTATTCGTTCAAAGCCAAATCTAAATCCGAATTCTCATATACCCGTTGAATTCAAATCTGATCTGAATAATAAAATTTTCTAAAACGGATATCCATCTGATATGCGACTAGTTTTTTTTATAAACAATTATATTACTACATGTTTATAATATTTTTCATTGTTCCGGGTTATGGATTTCATATTTCCCTATATTGTCTCATAAATAGTTAAATACTAGCTATAATATCCCTAAGTGTAGATAAAATATTATTATAAAGTAATGTTTCAAAAAATGAATGTTGCAAGATATAAAAGAATGTAAAGATGATTAGGTGGACGTTCCTAGATTGTAATGAAAATGAAATTCTCATAAAACATCGAAAATGAAACACGGAGTTATAATAATTCATTGAGTTCAATAACAAAACCAAACAGAACTGTTCAAAAATTGGCGTTAGTAGTTGAGAAAATTATACTGCTGTGTAGTATATATATATATTTGTTGCATGTTTAAGATGCACAAAACTAAAACAATTTGAAATTCAGGGGCAGATTGGTAAATTTCGATCATCAAGTGATGCGTAACTGCATTAAAATACAGAGTGAAGTTTGGTTTATGCGGAAGTCTATTTTTTCTATTCATCGGCAATATAACGTCATTTGATTATGATGCCATGCTGAACCTTTCAAAGTCGTCTTTCACAATTAGCACGTGTCAAAATAATAATAATAATAATAATAATAATAATAATAATAATGTTTAAGAATATGGACTCGTGAAATCAATCCCATCAATAATTTGGTCCCTAAATCAACACAACAAATTATTAACTAGAAAAATATCAGTAGAACATCACGACTTAATTAAGTTTGACGAGAAAAATAGTTAGATAATCTATCTAATACAATTAATAAAAAAAATTAAAAGATGATCTTTTAAATATTAAATCCAAGCAACCAATACCATATATTGTGGAATTACTTTATTTTTTAGAAAATTAATTTCTAGGATCAAAAGACGTAAAAATAAAAACATAATAAGCATTATAATTATATAGATTAGGGGTGGGGGATACAAAACTCAATTAGGGCATGAAACCTACAAAAAGTTGTTCTGCTTTTGGCTTGTCGAACATTTAAATAATCTGCGTTTAGTTCTTTTTATCAAGTTCTAGCAAATTATCTTACTGAATTATTTCCGTTTCGGACTATTATTTTATTTGATTGGACGGGCCAAGTTATTTATAAAAGATAAATGTATTATCCCATGACCAGACATAAATAATCTTTAGTTGTAAAAAAGATATATAAGTGTGGGATTTATTATACTTGGACAAGTAATGCTATTTATTCTATCTATTGTATTGGAAATATTTTTTTTTATAACCAGGATGGTTCTCCGGACCTTCGGTCCGACTACATCCACCCTAGACTCAGAACCAACCTTTGTATATGGACTATTTTGGTTCAGATTTTACATCTCTCTCCACCAGTGGAATCGAAACCAGGATTTTGAGGATAACTTTGTCATCTTTCATAAAAGCAAATTAAATTTCCAATTATAAATATATCTAGAAACATATGTATTGAAATAAATCAAATGCACCAAACAAAATTTGTTATAGATTAATAATTCATGTTTCTAATTAAAATTTTAGACGAAGATTTTGTTTAAAAGTGTTGATAAATGATTACAAGTGAATATCCATATATATAAAATAAATTATATATCTCGGTTATATAATAATATATATTACATTACAAAAAAATATAAATTTATTAAAACAACAAAAAGTAACCAAATTTATTTTTTAAATCAACAAAAATTTATTAAATTTCATAAAAATGGAATAAAATTTATTAAATTTCATAAAATTTTGAATATTTGTGTGTAATTTTTTTACCAATTATTTTCATTTATTATTATATTAATTGTATGAATAATTGTAAAATAAAGTATAAAAAACCTAAAACTTTAATTTAATTTTAAATTATACAAATTAAACTATCTACAATTAAACATGTCTGATATTTTTGTGTTTGGTATAAGGAAAAAAATTAACCAAATTTAATTTTCGAAATATTTGTCATTTTAGAGATTATTTTTTGTTTCTAAATAATTGTCATTTTAGATTTTTTAAGCAACTTTTAATAAAAATTTCCAATTTTATCTTTAATTAAAAATATCAAACTTCAATAGAATATTAATATGAATATGATTTAATAAGGGTATATATGAATTTTTTAAAATTTTTTTAAGAACTGTGAAAAAATCTAAAACAACAATTATATTGAAACGGGGAATAATAAACTTTGAAATTTTAAATAAATAAATAAAAACCACATGGATTTTTATTCAACATAACTCAAACAAAATCGAGTGCTAACATGTCGTGCCGGAGTTGCTTGCGGCGCCGAATTCCACAAAGACAGCACTGGTTCCATAAGCTTCTCTCGCCAATATATACATACATATATATATATAACGTGAATATAACATGATTTAAATGTGGATAATTGTATTATATCTAGAACGAATATATTCCGTTTAATTTGAATGGATAATAATAAACTCGACCCTAAATTTCAACTTTATTTGGGTTTTTGAAGTCCCTCTCCAATTGGCGATCGACATTTATTTTCCTTTTGTCTATGCATTTGAAGTTTACGCGACAACGACTTTTGTCCATGAAATTAAAAAAGAAAATTATAAGATCGAGATGTATTTGTTTGATGTACTATTACACGCATAGTCACCAGATAACATCTAGACTTCCATATATATATATATATAAAATCAAATTGAATTAAATCAAATTTAAATAGATACAATTTTTCAAATAAAAATCGGATATGGGAAATAACTGTTAATATTAAACTTTTTTTTATTACGAAGTATATATGCACATGATGAAAGATAGTCTTCAAATCAAAACCACCGTCCATATTCTGCAAAAGATGGAGTAATCAAACAAAGTCTTTAATTAAATCGAAAAATGCCAATATCAAACAACCAAAACGAAATAATTCGACGTTGAATTAAAGATCTGAATTTATTTTTTTATAGGATAAATTTCTGTATTCTCTATTAACTGTAGAGGATTTTTGTTTTGTAAGATTTAGGAAAATTCTTTGCAAGTTCTTTGTATAAAAATCGATGAATCAGATGTCGTACCAAATATATATCAAAATGGTGAAATACTGTATCCAGATTTTCATGTAAATATGAGTTATACTTTTTTTGTTATTTGTTAATAAAAATATAATCACGAGGACAACTTGTTAGATTGCTCTAACTAAAGTATCTATTTTAGTGTGTTACTTGTCTATTAAACCTCTCTCTCTCTCTCTATATATATATATAAATGCCCAAAAAACAATGTTTTGCCCCAAAAGAATATAATGGCAAAAAAACATGAACTCAACCTTTTTTTTTATAATCGTAAAGTTCCAATTACATCCCCTATAAGTTCGGAGAAACCAGATGAATGTTTCTTCCCAAACGGAGACGCGAACCTGGATTGAAAAAGAATTTTGCCCCATCGCTTACGAATTGAGCCACCTAATCTTGGATCTCAACCTCTTCTTCTATTTAACCCATCTAACAACATCCCTAAGCCCACCACTTCTCTCTTCTTCGCCAAGCGATCAACATAAAAAAAAAAGAGCCAAAACCATGATGAACATGTTCCAAGACTGGCCTGAACCAGTGGTCCGAGTCCAGTCCTTGTCCGAAAGCAACCTCGAAACCATACCCGGCAGATACATCAAGCCTCCGTCCCTCCGGCCGACCATAATCTCCGATCACCTCCACACCATCCCCGTCATCGACCTGTCGTCCGTATACACAGATGACATAACCCTACGCGAAGAAACGCTTGCCGAAATATCGAGGGCCTGCAGAGAATGGGGATTTTTCCAAGTGGTGAACCACGGGGTGAGCCCTCGTCTCATGGAACGGGCCAAGGAGGCATGGAGAGAGTTCTTTCATCTTCCCATGGAGATCAAACAAGTCCATGCTAACTCTCCCGTGACTTATGAAGGGTACGGAAGCCGATTAGGCGTCGAAAAGGATGCTCCTCTCGATTGGTGTGATTACTATTTTCTTCACTATCTTCCTTCCTCTTTGAAGGATTACACCAAGTGGCCTTCTTCCCCTCCTAATTGCCGGTATTTGTTATTTAGATCTTGCTTGTGTTTAATTTTAGAGTTATCGATCTACAGCTAGGCAAGCCATACATGTGCAATTAATTGTATAATTTTAGAGTTATCGATCTTAGATTCCATCAAAAAAATCAGGAATTTAAACGACCAAGGATCCCCACCTGATTAAAACGTTTTATCCCTACTGCAAGTTGCCTTGGGCAGACATAAAGAACAAAAAAGTTGATGTACCTACGAAACATTGTAATAATTTATCACGTGCATGCATGCATATGCCCACATGCGTAAATAGTAAACCGGTACCAATCTATCTCATCCTTTAATTTGTTTTTTTTTGT